AGAGATTCCAAGGAAAAACAGGGCCAAAGATGTCGAAAAACGCCAAAAACATCCAGTAATATAATCCACCAGAGTAGAAAGGGAGGGGGGGGTGCCTAAAGAGACTACAGCAGCCGGGAGAAAACCAGCTGCCTTGCCTCCTCCAGCATCGTTCGAATCACCCACCTCCTTTGAATAACAATAGTCCTCTGGAGACAACTAAGCACCAGGGTCCTCCCAATCAGCAAAGGAAATAGGGCTAAAGCTAGGACCATAAAAGATCGTAAAACACTGGTCCAAAGCTGCTTGTGGGTGACTAAAACGCCTAAGGCTTAAAAACGCCGAAGCAAAGCCTTTAGCGCAGCGCCGCCATTCCGCCAGCCTAAACGAGCGCTGCAAAGCACACTCCGGGCTGCCGCGTGGGACAGAGGACGTTTGGGAGCGTCGACCCTCCGAAAGATTGTTTGTTCAGCTCCCCAGGATCTCGCTCCGTTGCAGGGACCCTGTTTTGTAAGGCTCCGATCCAGAATGGCGGTTTATTTCGGCGTTTTTTTGCTCCACCGGACGGAGCAAAAGAAACCAGCGGCCATCCTGCCTCGCACATGCCTTATTTGTTAAGGCAAATAACTGCCCTACAAAACTGGAGGGCATGGACAAAATTGTTTTCCCCTCAAAGGGAACGCAGCGAGGAGCGAGTCGTCCAAATAAATTCATCCATTTGCCGAAGACATGAAAATATCCTCAGATATTTCTCAAAGCTTCCTTATCCATTTAACCTTCTGGCGCCAAGTATATTAAATAGGGGCCAAATTGAATCTCCGTTCAATAAAACTGGAATTGAGGGGAAAATCAAAACTGAATCCGCATTCAGTGGGACAAGAAAAAACATTTGATTTATGTTGTTATAGTAAATCTTAAATTGGCAAAGGGAAATGGGTTCTTTTGGATAACAAGGTAAAACAACAGTACTAAAAACAATAATTGAATTGGACCAGAATTCCAATTGTAGAATTGATTCAAAGTCTAGTCCCTTCCCTGCAAGCAGATACCAATACAGATTAACCGAGTTGGAAGAGGACTTTGTAAGTCTTCTAGTCCAGGGGTCACCAATTTTAAGGAGAAACTTCCTAACAGTGAAAACAATTAGCCAGTGGAACAGCTTGCCTTTAGGAGTTGTAGGTGCTCCATCACTGGAGGTTTTTAAGAAAAGACTGGACAGCCACCTGCCTGAAATGATATAGGGCAGGGTGTCAAACTCACATCATCATGTCGTTGTCAGGCGACGTATGGGGACTTTTCCTCCCCCTTCACTAAACCAGGCATGGGCGTGGCCAGCGCGTGATGCATCCGGCCCACGGGCTGGGAGTTTGACAACCCTGGTAAAGGGTATCCTGCTTGAGCAGGGGGTTGGACTAAAAGACCTCCAAGGTCCCTTCCAGCTCTATTCTGATTGATTGATGCTGAGCTTTTCAATCAGAAAGGTCAGTAGGTTCCTAAAGCCGCATAACGGAGTGAGCTCCTGTTACTTATCCCAGCTTCTGCCAACCTAGCAGTTCTAAAGCATGTAAAAATGCAAGTAGAAAAATAAGAACCACCTTTGGTGGGAACGTAACAGCGTTGCGTACGGTTAGTCGTGCTGGCCTATGGCCATAGAGGCGTCTTCGAACAGCTCTTTGGCCTTGATAAGCACAGCACCCTAGAGTCGGGAACGACTAGCACTTATGTGCGAGGGGAACCTTTACCTTTACTATAATCAGGATTATTCTGATGAGGGGAATGAATCTGAATCTGAAAACGATTGAACTTGAACTCTACGGAGCAGAGCCGGTGAGGCTCTGCTTCGCAATCCCAAGGAATTGGAGCCCGTTTTTTTTTCCCTTTATTTTTTTGGCTGAATTAGCTGGTGCACTCAGTTGGAATATGGGCTCCGGGGGTGGATGGGTGGGGGTGGAGTGCCCCATATTGCTTACTGCACCTAAATGTCCGTGAAAATGGGAGTTCGACTGCAATATGCTGCTGCCGATCCTTTTAGGCTGCTTCCCCTTCCTGGCTGGAACAAGGACCAGCAGGGAAGAGCGAAGGATGGCATTAATAAAGTTCAATACTCTGCTGCTTCTTTGCTTTCTTTTTTTCTTTACATTAATTTGCATTAACTTTTATCTTTTTGTTTCCTTCCTACAGTTTCATAGAATCATAGGGCTGGAAGAGACTTTGGAGGTCTTTCTAAGTGCAAGCCCCCTGCCCAAGAGAAGAGTATTAAAAGTTTAAAATTAGTTTTGATAAAAATTATATAAAATAATTAGAATGTGTTGCTGCTAATGGTTATTGTACTGCTCATGGCTGTAAAGAACAGAACGGGCTAAGATCACCTGCATAAACTCTCGCGGTTTTTTTCCTGCACGGAACGTTCCCGTGGGCATTATTGTTCCCACCCGGTCACCGGAAACTGGCCTAGGAATTATTTCCGGTTCCGTCGCTTTATCAAGCTTATGCAGTTCCAGTTTTGAGCTGCTTAAGTATCGTTGGTTTGGTTTCTCCGAAAAGATGGGAAAATGCCGGTTCCTTAAATCTGCGGCTCGACAGTTGGCGGGAACGTGCCCAGCCCAAGCGCGATTTTTGCTGTAAGGCTTTTTGTGCACATGACTTTCTTATTTCTGCTGGTTTCTAAATGCCTCTATAACGCTCATATGTCGCGGCTGCCTCATTTTCTGGTTTGACCAAATTTAGTGGTTTATAATCCTCCCTTAGTCCCTCACTGTTTCTCATTAATCTTTTTTCATTTGTCAGATTTAGAAGGCTGACTAATTTAAAACACTGAGCGACACGTAACGTTTAATAATAGTAAGATAAACAATAAAAAGAAAGAAAGAAAGGAGCGAATTATGTCCAGAAGAGAGAAATAAATAAAAACAAACAAACCCGCAAGAGGCTCTGCGATTCAATCCACTGATTTCTTCAATAGTTGGTGGTTATATACTAGAATGCAGAGTCGTTCAGTGTATGTTAAGTCATACAACTAAAAAGAGGACTGGTAACTAATGATAAAGCCATCATAAAATAGGTCTCAGGATACGATTTCTTTTGTTTTATTCATTTCAGAAATTTTAATTGTATGTGGTTAATTTAATACATTTTAAGCATAACCATATAAAATGTTTTGATCAGTTAAAATGAATAAATTCTAAACAATTGGAAAGATGAAATTGGCAGCCTCCTAAATGTTTATGAATATTCCAGATTCATTTTCTGTGTTACATATTTCAGACATTCTCAGCTGAATTTTGCATTTCTGATTGTCAATATTAATGAGAATATACTCGTTTTACTTACAAGATCATTTTATGATTGATAATTTTCAAATGACTATCGTTATCTCAGATGGAGATACCTCAGTATATTGAAAACATAGTAATTACTATTTATATTGATATTTTAGCAATTTTTTGGTTGGTTAGTATTTTAAAATGATTATTATTTTTCCATTTTTATTATTGATTTTGATTTGCTATAAATTGTCTGAATGTAATGTAGTAAAATTATACAATATAAACATATACAACTCATTTCTTTTTATTATGTCTTCACAGATGGACACTCAGCAACATAGAAGGTAATTACACAGGAGTTGTGGTACACCATGGAAGTCAGATTAAAACCTTTTGAGATTTTTCTTTTTTTGTACCTTCAGTCAGCCTTTTAATCTTTCAAAAATGGAATATATAAATTGCTTTCATTCTTAAATATGAAATTTCGGTGCTGTGGTCAGTAATCTTATTTAAAAAAATGATTTGCAGAATATTTCCATTTTGGATGCCCTTTTCATTTCCCTTCTATTCATGTTTGTATGCAAATGAAAAAAGTGGGACGGGAAATTATGATATGAACTCACACACTAGCTACTGTATTAGCAATAACATTTAATTCTCCAACTTCTTTGTGTCTTCTCCATCTCTATCTTTATCTAATATTAGTGCCCTGCTTAATTTGTAGGAAATCTGAACTCAGGGGGCTTGATTTCATTATAACCCAGCCATGTGATTGGGGAGGTGCTGAGTGAACTTTTGTGTCAGAAGTTTGTTTTTTCAACATAATAAACTGAAGAAATTTAATTTACCATATGCTACTAAATAATCACTTCTTGGAATCTCTTATCTCTTTGGTAATAACTGGATTATTTTGTTACCACAAATAACTGTTTTATAGAGTTTTTAAAAACTAACCCATTTATGACAACCGTTTTATTGGGTGAATTGATTTTTTTCTTTTTTTTAAAAAAATGATGTAATATCAATTATTAAATTACTAGTTAGCCTGGAAGTTTAAGCTTATGAATAATTTCATTTTTAATTAGTCAGAGATTGATTTTTAAACTATATTACAAATATTTTGAACGGAGGTGGTGCTGTGGACATAGCTTATCTGGATTTTAGCAAACTCTTTGATACAGTTTCACTAGAGGGATCACCAGAGAAAAAGGGGGTCCTAAACCAGGGGTGGGTTTCGACTGGTTCGCACCGGTCCCTGCGATCCGGTTGGTCGCCGAACCCGGAAGTAAGTAACTTCCGGGAACGGCGAAGCCCCCCCCCCCCCGCGCGCGCCCGCACACCCACGCCCGCTCCTTACCCGGTTTTTTCAAATTTTGCGCTTTCCACGCATGCGCAGAACGCCTGTGCGATCCTCCAGGAGCAGCTGGAGCATCGCGCAGACGCTAGTACACATGCGCGCGCCGCGTGCGTGTGCGAGGACGCCGCGTGTGTGCGCGAGGACGCCGCCGGCCTCGTTCCAACCGATCCGGTTGGAACGGGGCGAGAAACCCACCCCTGTCCTAAACCCACTATATAGCATTTAGAATACTGTTCTTAGTTCTGGAGAACTCACTTAAAGATATTGATAGGATTGAATGAGTGCAGAGATGGGGAACAAAAATTATGCATGGTCTGAGGAACAAAACACTCCAAGCAACTTTGGAAGAACTGAATATGTGTAACCTGGAATACAGAAGGGAAAGGGAGACAATATTGGAACTTTTATTTTTATTATTTACATTATTTATTTATTTATTTTTATTTGTTAAATTTATTTTCTATGTGTTTTTTCTAGGTGGCTTAATATAATAATAAAAAAAAACAACAGAAAATAAGAGAACAGTAATATAATGAAAAAGGAACACAACAAGAACAGAATCACAGAATAACAAGAGTTGGAAGGGATCTTTTAGGTCATCTAATCCAATCCCCTGCTCAAGCAGGCGGCCTTACAAAACCATGGAATAACAGAATTGGAAGGGACTTTGGTGGTTGTCTAGCTCAACCCCTGCTTACAGAATCATAGAATCACAGGATTGGAAGGGATCTTGTAGGTCATCTAGTCCACCCTGTTCAAGATTCTTTCATTTCTGACAAGTGGTTGTCCAGTCTCTTTTTGAAAGAGACTGGAGAGTGATGAAGCACCCACAACTTCTGAAGACGCTGTCAGAAAATGTCTCCTTATTTCTAGGTTAAATCTTTCCTTGATAAGTTTCCATCCATTGTTCTTTGTCTGTCTTTCGGGTATATTCATATTGATGACTATAAAAGATGAATGAGTGGAGAGCAGGGAGGGAAGGTGGAGTCTGCCATCAATCCAGTAGCCATCTCCAGTGTGGAACTCCCTAGGCCAACTGGCAGAGCCAAGTCTTCAGGCTCTTCCAGAAGGATAAAAAGGTGGGGGCAGATTTTATCTTAAATGAGAAGATGTTCCAATGTGTGAATGCTGCAGCAGAGAATCCTTTTTTGTGGATTTAGTTAATATGTGCTTCTGAAAATAACTACCGTATTTTCACGACTATAAGCCGCACTGAAAATCCTAAAATTTGACCCAAAACCGGCAGTGCGGCTTATAACCCGGTGCGCTTTATATGTGGAAAAAGATCTCCCAGCTGCTTTCAGGGCTTCCTGGAGCGCCAAGAACCTTCGCGCTGTTCTCCGCTCCTCCTCGCGACTGCAACAGATGTCCAGAAGCGTCGGGAAATGTGCGGCTTATAACCCGGTGCGCTTTATATGTGGAAAAAGTTTGAAAAATTAACGTTAATTGATACTGCGGCTTATAATCTGGTGCGGCTTTTGGTCGTGAAAATACGGTAAGTCTGAAAACCTTTGTACATTTTCTGACATATTAAATACACATATTGCCTCTGCCTCTGGAGATTTCCCCCCTCGTATATTTAATAGTGAACTTCCCCTTTTATATGTTTTCAGCATGAACTCTGGAGAGAGAGTGGTAATTCTGTGATATTTCTTTTTGTTTATGGAATTAGCTTTAAAAGTGCCAAATTTGCTTCCATAAAGATAGGAAGTATTTTCAGTTGCTTTCATGCAGCTTAAGAAAGATTTTTTTCAACCAGCAGGCAGCTAAGCAGCAGATTATTTGGCGAGAAAAGGTTGCAGTTGATAATACCCTTGGCTAGTATATGTGCATTTATGGCTTTCCTCTTGTTAAACCTCCTCTTAAAAATACTGAAATTTTAATTTGATTGTATTACAGTATATTACTTTATAATTAAAATTCAGAGAACTTTATTATTCTTATTTTCAGGAAAAAAGGAACATCCTGTAAATCCCGTGTGCTGCTACTGTTTCCAATTTCTTTTTCCCAATAACTATAGAATGCGTCTATTGCCCAAAATGAAAATAACATCAAGGACAGAAAAAATACTCAATCTAGAGAAAAAAAATTACAGACTTAGTTTAAAGCAAACAAAGCTCTTGAGCAAGTACAAGGAATCAAAGAATACCCTGGTAAGTTTAACGTGATGCAATTTGCCTCACAGTAACAGAATAACAAGTTATTAAGACAATTGAAGAGTTTTTAACTAAAGTATATTAAGAAAAGTAAATTAATAGAAACAACAAAAAGTCTTTTCCATTGTAGCATTATGTGGCTGAATTGATAAATACTAATAGCATAATATAATTCATACAGCTTTAGGAATTTTCTCTATTTTCTTAATCCATATTTCTGACACAATAATTGGAGCAACTATGACCATAGAATATTAGATATGATCTTTGAGATCCATCTAGTCTAATGTCTTCCCCATGGCAGGAATGTACCA